AGAGAGAGAGAGAGAGAGAGAGAGAGAGAGAGAGAGAGAGAGTCTCCTTTTGGGGGGGGAGGGTAATTTGCCAAATACCCCCATAAGTTGACGTATATGTCAAAATGTCCCTAAAAGATATGGACACAGTGGAATGGCCTTTTGGACTGACATGTTTGTCTTATGCCCCTGTCAAGCGGGTGTGCAAATTCGCTTGGCCTTTTGCAATTGCAGCTACGAAAAGTTGGCAACTGCCGGGCCATTTTGCAAAGTTGGGCAGCGTACGGTAGGGGTACATTGCGAAGATGGTATCCAACTGATGGCTGCAGTGTTTCGCGAAATGGTTTTTTCATTGTCCTTCGCTGCGGCGGGTCCGCTTGTTCAACTAAAGCATTGATGTTCAGCAGATAAATTGCCGGAATTGATCTTGTACAATGCCGAACCTAGAATTGCAGATGCTGCACGTACTTGCAGCAGAGCGGCATTAACATTTTTTAACTGAGAATGAAGTTCCACAACAAATGACAAGACACGGACCCTCGCTGAGTTGATGGAGAGCAGAGGGTTAAGCTCAACTGTAGCCGGGCGTTGTGCATGTTGATGAAACAGCAGGCCGAAGGGAAAGGTAGTATGTATCTTCTCAGAGCACATGCTGTCTTCAGACTGACGAGTGCAATTGTGCAATCCTGGTGCGAGCTTTAGTAACTACTCTTCCAGGCTGCAGCAAAGGCAGGGTTCTGCCTTTGGATTGACTACCGTAGGACAACTAGTCCCACGCCCCTGGCTCCCACAATTGGTCAGTCACTCAGTGGCCTTGGGTCAAACCGTCAAAATGCAAAACCCGGAGCCTGACGCTGTGCTGCCGGGGAGTCTGTGTCTGAGGAGAGGAGGCAAGAGAGGAGGGATTATAATACATTCTAGTCCTGCCCCATCCCTCGATGTTTGGGGTTGTGGTGAAAGAGGAGAGAAGGAGAAACAGTTGTTAAAGGATGCAAATAAGAGTCCATTCCACAGAATACGAGCAAACAACGCAATTGTAGTAGATCTGTCCAGATTAGGATATGTTGCTCTAGACTTGGGCACATGTGAACTGAAGCCCCGGGGGCAGGTTAGTACGCAGTAAGTTTACTGAAATATTCAGAGAGGGGGAATGCAGGAAGAGTTCATGTAAAAAAGCCGAGAGAAGAGGGCAATACAGGAAGAGTCCGTGGTTCGTGTTGAGAGAATTTCATGTTGAAAAGCTGAGAGATGATGAAAAGGAGGCTAACTGGGGAAAGCTGAGAGAAGGCAGTACATGAAGAGGTCATAGGAAGACTGGCTGTTTCAAGTCGAAAAGCAGAGAGTAGATGAAAGAGAGGTGCTCAAACAGACTCATGCACAGACGAGAGAGAGAGAGAGAAAAAGAGAGAAAGAAAGAGAGAGAGAGAGAGAGAGAGAGAGAGAGAGAGAGAGAGAGAGAGAGAGAGAGATGGTGTAAGGAAGGTGGAAAGGCACACATTTGTATGCTCTTCACTAACCGGAGAATGAATGTCAATGTGGATGATTTCCGAGAATAGAAGATGGGTGCTGGAAATGGGACTGCGAAGCAATAAACAATTACATTGTCATCAACAGAAGGCGCTTTGCTGATCTGCACAACATTGTGTGGGGGTTTTGCCGTGTCTGTCTTTGTGCAGCCATTCTTGCAGATGAAATGGGTCTGGGGAAAACGGTGCAGGTATATATGCCAAGCCAAACAATTTTTTGACCAAATCCTCGTTGATTAAAAAAAGCACTCAATCCTTGTTCTGGGTTGTTCACTTATATTTCTGGTGGTTAAATATGCATGCCGTGTCTTCTTTTCATTTCCGTTTTCTGAGGTTCGTGGCAAGTGAGGTATGGTGTGCTGGCCAATGCTGGAACGATTGGGAGAGGGAGAATGCTGTATAGAATGAGAATAACACATACTTGTGGCGCCCTGATGCGGTGCGCGGAGCGGGGCGGTGCGCTGTGCGCGGGGCGCACATTTTGCAGCGAGCGCACTGTGCGCCGTGCGCTATGCGCTGTGCGCTGTGCGCTTGGTGCGCTGGGCTTCGTGGCCTGTGCGCTCGGTGCGCCAAATGAAAATATGCCCTGCATTTATCTTGCACAGGGAGATATAGAGGAAGAAGAAGAGGAGGAAGAAGAAGAAGAGGAGGGGGAGGAGGGGGGGGAGGAAGAGGACGAGGAGGAGACGGACGAGAAAGATATGGTGGAGGAGGAAGATATGGAAGAAGATGCGGAGGGCGAGGAGTAGAAGTAGCTGCACCAGCAAAAAAA